GTTACTTGCTTTAAAAAATACATTTAACTCATCACTTCTTGTCTGTATAACATTTATTTGATTTGCTTGTTATAATTATTTTAATTAAGCAATATGGAGCTTGTTTTTATTTTATCCTGATATTATATGATTATATGTAATATCTGGTGAAATAAAAAATGCCATTGTTTAAATTCAGAATATAGTAGTTTTATAGTGGTAAACTTTATTGCGTTCAGCTCAATTTACATGCTACTGTTTGTGTGTGTGTGTGTAAGTGTGTGTGTGTGTGTGTGTGTGTGTGTGTGTGTGTCACAAGATCTTCAATGAAAATGGAAAAAACTTAATTCATTACAGTGGTAGATTAATCGATTAATAAAATAATCAATAACTGCAGCCTTAATTGATGGATTAAAATCAACAGTGAGAAATAGCCATATTATATTATGTTCAAGTAAAATAAAAAAATGTACAGCTTTTTTAATTAGTTATTAATAATTAATATTATTAATTATTATTAAAACTAAGTTTATTGGTTATTGATTATTAATTATTACATAAATAATAAAACAAGTACTACTTTTGCTTTTAATGCATTATTAATCATTAACTAAATTAACATCATATAAGATTAATAATTGCTTTTGTAGTTGTCATTACATTGAATTAATTGATAGGGCGACACAGTGGCTCAGTGGATTGCACTGTTGCCTCACAGTAAGAAGGTCACTGGTTTGTATCCCAACTGGGTCAGTTGGCATTTTTGTGTGGAGTTTGCACGTTCTCCCTTTGTTCATCTGGGTTTCCTCCAGGTGCTCCGGTTTCCCCCACAGTCTAAAGACATGTGGTACAAGTGAATTGAATAAACTAAATTGGTCGTAGTGTATGTGTGTGTGAATGTGAGTGTATGGGTGTTTTCCAGTATTTGGTTGCAGGTGGAAGGGCATCTGCCGTGTAAAACATATGCTGGAGAAGCTGGCAGTTAATTCCACTGTGGTGACCCCTGATTAAAAAAGGGACTAAGCCGAAGGAAAATGAATGAACAAATTAACTGATGCTAAATGGATCCTTGGTGTACAGACTACAGAGTTAATAAACATACTGCCTGTACACAGTCACAGAATTTTTAATATCATAAACCAGATTAGATTACTTTGTGAAAATGTTAATGTTTGAAAAAAATAAAAAGATAAATAAAAAAACTATTAAATCTTGAAGCACTTGCTGATCTGATGAAGAACTGGCAAAAATCTGCATAATCTCAAAAAGCATCCTGAATGATTGAATAAATAATAATTATTCATGGAATTTTGAGGTGCCCAGGATGTTAATATTGTCCATGTTTAATTTTTACAATATATTTATATTATTATTGAATATCCTCATATGTCTACTCTACATGTTTTCTTGTTCAAGAAGGTTTTATACTCAAGCCATGATGGGGAAAAAAAGATTATCGCAAATTATATTTTAAGCTATTATGAAGAAATTCCATATTTATTTTTTATAGGTGTATTAACTTAAATTAAACCAATGTTCCATTTAGTGTTAATGAAAACTCTAGCAAAAACTAAATGATCAGTGACATTTTTCTACACATGTTTAACTTGCAGTTGTTCTAAATAAAACAGTTATTTTTTATTAAGTTATTAAATGAGTCTTTATGTTAACTACATATACATTTTCATTCAAAGTTGCAACATTTTAAAAAACATGACAGAATTTAAATTTTTACTAAACTATAACTTTTAACTAAAAATAAGAAAAATTATTTTACAAATGACGCGGGTCTTATGCTGTCCTAGAACAGTTTAGCTAAGAACTGGGCCCAGCTGACGGTATTGTTTGCTTCCCCATTTTAAATGTCTCTCTGTGGTCGCAGTGTTGGGCATGACAGTTTCTTTCTCAGGGAGAGCAACATATATAACAGTATCATTATGTGCAGACTGGGAGGGTGAAGTTGGTGAGTGGTGCTCTCCCACAATGAAAAACAGAAAGACGGGAGAGATGATGAGTGAGAAAGACAGAAAGAGAGAAATATGCAGCCAAAGTCTGGCACTCAACGCGGATGTGTGTGATCCACAGTCGCGTCCAGAATCTAGAGTTAAAGCCTTCGCTATATGAAACGTCAACAAAGAAAAAGACCCGGGGCTTTTCTAGCGCTTAATAGAAACATCTGACAAGCATTAGTACTGACATTCATTCATCTGGCCTGTGGATGAATAGACAGCACCGGTCCAGCATCTGTGCTGCAGAGACAATCAACTGGATAGATATACATACATGAATACTTTAAAAAAAAAAAAAGAAAAAAAGAAACATCAAACCGTAATGTAATGTAAAACAAAGAAGCTGAGATATATGGAAAACATAATATCTCTAACATTACTATGAAATTTGAGTTAAAAAAAAAAAAAAGCACAGACTGAACATATTATGGGTTTAGAACATGAAAAATTAAGAGCTGTGCTTTTTAAACAACACATTGAATACATACAGACAGCTCAATGCTCTTCTATGAGCTAATAGCCCTCATTCCTAAGACAGCTGCTCCATCTAGAGTTTAAATAATGAAGTACAGTCCGCACTTCTAAACAGATAGTTCACACAAAAATAAAACTCACTCTGGTGTTTTTTAATGCCGTATGCACATCTTCAATCGATTATTTATTGTATATTTCTGCTACTAACAGCTAAAAACTTGTAAAACTGTACATGTCTAAAAAGTAAACTGCATTATTTGGAGTATAAGCATGGATTTGGTCTATTTTAATAGGTAAAATGGAAAAGAATTATGCCCAATTTCAAATGTTACAATACATTAGAAAATTAGTATTTTGGTTTACAGCATTCAAATCTCAGCTTTCCAAATATTTCATTTATTTGTTTTTATTTTTGGGTGAGTTGTTATTGTATTTCATGAAGTTAACTTTCAAAGCTGTGAAATGCCCACATTGGCCCCAATATGATTACTCTTTTCTATCCTGCTTTTATTGAGTCTATTCTATCCTCCGTTCTGGTGGCATGGTTTGGAGGTCTGTCTCTCAAAAACAAGAATAGACTGAGCCAGGATGTTAGGTGGTCTAGCAGGTTGATTGGTGAATCACAGCTAAGTATTGAATCCCTGTATAGTAGGCAGCTTTTACGGAATGCCCAGAACATTATTATTTGTAGCTCTCATCCTCTGTTTGAGGAGTTTAACCTACTCCCTTCGGGTCAAAGGTTTCAGATGCTTTATAGGACAAAATGGTTCAGGAATAGCTTTGTCCCATCATCTATTGTTGCTCTGAATAAATTATAATCTTTTAAAAGGTACTTTGTATGTGTATATGTGGGTATGTATATGTGTGATTTAATTGTTTGTACCAAATGCAAAACTTTGCTGAAAAAAGAATCTACCTACGGGTACTAATAAAGTCAACTCAACTCAACGTTACCAGATTACCCTAATTTGCACCAGTGCTTTTGCACCTTATCATCAATCTGCTTGTTTATGAGCCAAACTGCCGTAGTTTATGCAATTCTTTGATATTATGAAAATTAGGTGATTATTTACCCTGTTTGGTAAATCTGGCCCAAACATTTCAAAGAATTGTCCTAAGCAGCACGTGCATCATATATTAAGTGTTCCCAAGATATATAATAGAGTTTGGTAAAAGAAAATATAATATAATATTTTATATTTTTTCCCGAATTTCTGTTTAATGGAAATAAAAATTTTCTTTCAACACATTTCTAAACATAATAGTTGTAATAACTAATTCCTAATAACTGATTTTTTTTATCTTTACCATCATGCCAGTGAATATTTTACTAAATATTTTCCAAGATACTAGTATTAAGGTTAAAGTGCAATATAAAGGCTTTACTAGGTAAATTAGGTTAATTAAGCAAGTCATTGTATAACAGTGGTTTGTGCTGTAGCCAATCAAAACAAGAGGGCAAATAATTTTGATCCTAAAATGTTAATTTAAAAATAAATAAATAATAAAACTGATTTTATTCTAGCCAAAATAAAACAAATAAGACTTTCTCTAGAAAAAAAAAAAAAATATATATATATATAGGAAATACTTTGACAAATGCCTTGCTCTGTAAAACATAATTTGCCAAATATTTGAAAAGAAGAGTCACAGCAGGGCTATTATTTTTGACAGAACTCCAAACATTAGCTCACCCTGGTCTTTGTAGCTGACTATGTATGCAACTCACCCACACAAAAAAAACACAAGTTTTGAGAAATCAAGACAAATACAACTACGACAAAACAAAATCCACAAACTTTTTTCTCTGAGCTAACTATACCCTCTGTCTCAACTCCAAGTCACAAATCAGAAATACCTGAAGCTTTCAAAAACAGAAAAACTCATTTTTTTCAGAATTTATTATTTATTTTTGTTTCAACGATCTCTTAAGCATTGAATACACTCGTTTCTTTAGGTTTATCATAATTTATTATATGGAAGCCATAATCTTTGGTAAATCACAGTAACGACTTAAAAATTCAAAATCATGATAAACAATTTGTCACCTTAGAATTATAAGGTTCTACCTGACATTTTTGTCCAAATTGAGATATTCATATATTCTTATTAAATGACAACTTATTTACATTATGGGATGTTTTTTTATTATTGTTTACATTTTAAGCCTTTTTATAAAAAATAAAAAAATGTTACACACATACTGTTTGCTATTCAGTGCAAAAACTTTAAAGCTCAATACCTCAAAATCATTCAGAACGCAGACAGAAACTTGGACATAACTCCAAGGTTACGAATTCTAAATTATGATGATATGAAGATAATCATGATCACTGCATAAAGGGTAACAACACATTCATAAAACAATAAGGCTGGCATAACGACATACATTTGTAAACATTCAGACACAAAACGTCAAAATTGTGAAATTACAGCTTCGATTTCATTTGTCTCAACCACTAATTTTACAATTACTGTAAAAATAAAACACAAAAGCAACGAAGATTCTAAGATAAACTGATAAAATGAAAAGTTTACCTTGACCACAAATTTCGAGGGCTCCATCCTGTTCAAATTCAGTCGTTAGATTTCCCCCATCTAGATAAACACAAATACTTTTTATTTATTGCTGATATTTTGAGCATTCAGTGATGAACGTCAAGTCATTAGAGTGAAGCAGCTACTCACGTGTTTGGATTGTGACAGATACAAGTCAAATTCAAAACACAAAGCAGAAGGGCGATTATGCGGCACTCAGACCTGGCTTACAATATACATGGGTTATTTGAATGTAACGTACAATAAATATTTAACATGTTTAATCACAATTTAGTCGAGAATGACAATAAAATAGCCGCAATGAACGAAACTTTAATCTCCCGCCGATGGTTTGAAACATGCCCTGTGTCACGTAAGGACCCCAGCGCTACCAGTTGTCATAGAGACGTAGCCGGATGTAGGAAGCTATATTTTTGCCAGACAGCGGTGATTGCTATTTTACGTAAATTGTGAAATATCCTGAACGATATATCTCAGCTTACATAAAAGGACACAAAACATGAATAGCGCTTGCTGTTCATAATTTAACCATTAATTTATCCATTTATTTTGTAAAACACTTTTTAACTGGCATAGTTTAGTTACTCTATGAGATCATGTGCAGCACATAAACACCATCTGCCTGGTTTGTGCGGTACGGTTTAATGTTCCTTTGGCTGTTCTTTCTTCAGTTAGTTAAGATATAAGCTGAATTTTGGTATGTATGACGCTAAATATGCGCGTTTTATAAGCTATTAGGTTTGTTATTAGTTGTTATATGAAAGAAGATATTGCTATTAAGTAAAAGATAAGTGTAGTAACGCTATGTTATAATGAGTGGTTAAAGTACAATACTTTGTAGACTACAAATAAAATGTACTGACCTCATAATAAATAACCACATAACACTATCTGAATTATTATAACCAAAGACTTTAAAAGATACTTTGTTATAACGTAACTATTTAGCCGTTTATAATATTTATAATATTAATATTTTGGAACTTTGTTTTTTTAAACAAAACCATATTTATATCAGCAACATCTCGTGAGCAAATTAAAGTCGTAAATATTTTCAACGTTACCATGATTTTACCATGTTATTACTACATATATGACCTTTTGTTAACTTATAAACAAGTTGCTAACTATAAACAGATGCAAAATAAATTTTGATAAGAATCAAATTGCCTTAGTGTATTATAAATTATTTAATATGTTAATGTAAATATTGAAATAGTATAATTTAATATCTCATCAAAAATAATCACTTAATATTTCATATGTAAGATTTTTTTTTTAAAATGCACATATATTCCAATGAAATAAATAGATAATAACTAAAGATTGCTCAAAAACTGTCATAATGTATGAAACATAAATAATTATTTAGATGAAAAATTGCAAAAATGAATTCCCTCACTGAAAACAATGCATTTTTAGACATTTTTATTTATCTGGTTCAGGTTAAATGGTTCCAATTGTGTTATGATTGTTAAATATTGTTTTGTCATTTAAAATAACTAGTGAATGGCAACAGTCATAGGACGTTATATATACAGTTACCTATAGGTTGGGCCAGACAGAATTTGCGGACATTTTTAGCTATTTCTGCACAGAAAATGTTTAAATTTAAAAGATTTTGGGAGTATCATTACTGAAACTTGATATATGAAATAAAAAATAATACCTTTTAAACTTTTATTTAATGTATACAACGCAAATCCAATTAGATCCACTTAATTAGTAAAATAAAGCGAGTACAATACAATACAATACAATACAAACTGTATTGTAAATTAATCATAAGAACATTTTCATATTAGTCAATAATATTACTTTAAATTCATTAACATTAATTTAAATACTGAATAAATATAAATTTACACACTTTTACTCAAGTAAATATATAGACGCAACCATGGGCTAAAAATCTGCGTGCACAGATTCTGTGTGGGCCTACCTATAGGTATTCATATACCAGTTTAATCAATACTTAACCTTTTCTATAATACTATATACATACCATCTATTCTTGTCAAAGTAACTGACCTACATTGATTTAGCCAATTTTTTCAAATTAAGCCACAGCATGTCTCGCATTAGTAAGAAGAAGCCAGCATTATGCACAGACGAACCTCTTTCCAACAGTACCATCTGCCAAAAGATCACTCTATTAAGAAACATACTCAGCACAGCCTATGGACCTACCGGCAGACTGAAACAAATACACAACAACGTTGGGGGCCACGTCTTGACAACTTCAACCTCAACAGCGCTTCTCAAACGACTAGAAATGTCTGAGCCGCTTCTCAAACTGATCTCAACTGCTCTTCAACATCACACCACACGTTACAGTGACTCAGGGCTGTTTATGGGGATTTTTACACTCACACTTATTGAAAACACCAAAAAATATGGGCTTAGGACATCCACGGCAATCAAAGTGTACAAACACCTTGTGGAACAATGTAATGTGTATCTTAAAGGAGACTCTTGTGGCTGTAAGGTGCCAGTGGAGTTTAGCAGCTGTGATTCTCTTGTTGCATTGGCGCACAGCATGATCACCAGCAAACCAGCCTGCATGTTGGACAGCAGAGAGACGCAGCAGATCAGTTCATTGATCACACAGGCTTTTCTGTACTCCATCCCTTGCAACTCTTCTGGTACAGCCTGCTTTGGAAGAACGGTCACTATTGGCATTGAGGGTCAATCTGTGAACCATTCTTCAGTTTTTCCTGGACTGCTGCTGGATGTTCCTGAGATGCTCCTGCCTGGAGATCTCGAAAGACTGGGAGATGGTCCGTTTAAGGTGGTGCTTTTTGGTGTGTCACTGTCGGGGGATATTTCTGAGGTTGGCGATGTTGCTTTGGAGGTCCACAGAGGATTGAACCCCGAACGAGATCTCCTTCAGCAGCTCTTGAAGATTGGGGAACAGGTTGTAAAGGATAAAGTGAGTTTATTCGCATGCCAAAAAGTGGTACATCCAGTTCTTCAGCACTACCTGAGAGAGCATGAAGTGGTCGTGATCGAAAGGCTCGGACTCGCTCTGATGGAGCCGTTTGCCAAGATAACAGGTAAATATTTAGTTCAGGGCTTCATGGGGATTTGTTTTTGTGTAATTTAATATGAAGTTTTACTGTAATGGAGTTGTGAAATACAAGTGTATATACTGCATCTGGGGTGGCACAGTGGCTTAGTGGTTAGCACTGTCACTTCATAGCAAGAAGGTTGCTGGTTCGAGTCCCAACTGGGCCAGTTGGCATTTCTGTGTGGAGTTTGCATGTTCTCCCCATATCCGCATAGGTTTCCTCCGGGTGCTCTGGTTTCCGAGTATGATGTTTTGAAAAAAAAAAGGATTTAGCTTAAAATGTGTGTTTGACTTTTATTTATGTAATTATGAAAACTAACACATATAAATGCATTTATAAATGTTTTTTTTTTTAAATGTTTGTGGGCTAATGAAATTGTTGTCAAAATATTATTATTCATTCATTTTCTTGTCGGCTTAGTCCCTTCATTAAATAGGGGTCGCCACAGCAGAATGTACCGCCAACTTATCCAGCAAGTTTATACGCAGGATGCCCTTCCAGCCACAACCCATCTCTGGGAAACATCCACACACACATTCATGCACACACTCATACACTACAGACAATTTAGCCTACCCAATTCACCTGTACAGCACGTCTTTGGACTGTGGGGGGAACCGGAGCACCCGGAGGAAACCCACGCGAAGGCAGGGAGAACATGCAAACTCCATATGAAAAAGCCAACTGAGCCGAGGTTCGAACCAGCGACCTTCTTGCTGTGAGGCGACAGCACTACCTACTGCGCCACTGCTTTGCCCCAAAATATCATTAATGAGTATTATTATTATTGTACTATTAAAAATGTAGTTATAAAGTCTAGCGTTATATTATTGGTTGTGTTTATTATCCCTATTCTGCAAAGATGCATTAAATTGATTAAGAGTAAATCTTTATATTTTAAATTAAATTTTTAAAAGCTTTTAACCTTTTTTTATTTTCAAGTAGTGTCAAATTAGTGCATTAGAACGATTTGTGCAGGATCATATAACACTGATTCCTGGAGGAACGGCTTCAGCTTTGCATCACAGGAATAGGTTCCATTTTAAAATATAATAATTCTGAAAATGGTTATTTTAAATTGCAGTGCTGCAGGATTATGTTTTTTTATCTTTATATTTGTTTACCCTAAACGTTTGAACTGTAGCCCATATCAGGGGTTCCCAAACGTTTTATCCTAAATTTCTCGAAGGTGGTTATAAATATACAAACGTTTCGCAAACAACAATATGCCTGTATATAAACACAAGTATATTGACAGCACAAAAAAGTACAACAGTCTAACAGTCATATCATTTTATAGTCATTTATTAATTTATTTAATTTAATATTAACCACACCTAAAAAAAACTGTTGGGCAAAATATTTTCAGCACAAGTCTATTCTTGGTTTATTTTAGAGATAATAATAATGGAGATCATCCTCAATATTCAGTTGTGGCCTGTATTTATTTTTAATGTATTTAAATGTCAGAAAGGTGTCAGAAAGTTTACCCTGGTGCTATAAAATCAATCTGCTGCAGCTGACACTATTGCTGTGTTGCTAATCTAACATAATCGCACTAATCCTTTAAAAAAGAAGTTTAAAGACTGATGCTTTTCATTTGCATGTTTTTGTTTTTTACTATTAAAAACTACTATTTATCTTATGTGGCTTATGGTTAAAATCAATGGTTTAATACAATTTATTTGACTTTTGAAAATCACAAAGCGACTCCCTGTCATTGTCCTGCAACCCCTCAGGGGGTCCTGGACCTCTCTTTGAGAACCACTGGTCAATATATATGAATTTACTTTTTATTTTTATTATTTAAAGCCATGCCTTTGCTTACGTTATTGGTAATAATATGTAATATTATAGTCCAATGCAGTAGAATTTAAAGTAGATGTTAGTCTCTACATTCATAGAGGCTTAACTTGAACACTTATGCTGATATTTCAGGTGCACGGGCTGTTGCATCTCTTTTCTCTCTGGTCCCGATGGAAGCTTATGGGTTGGTTGCTGGATTATGTTTCCAGGACTGTGGATCCAAGAAGCTGCTTCAGCTCCTCTCCTCTAAACATGCTGCAATAAGCACTATGGTCCTCTGCCACAGAAATGAAACTATGCTGGAAGAACTGAAGGTTTGTGCAGTTGAGTGCTTCTTGTTATTTAGACTTTTTTATTTTAAATTTTAATTATTTTGTTTAGCAGTTTGTTTTAATTTGATTTAGATGTTTGAGTTGATTAGGTTCTGCTTCAGAAGCTCTCATTTTGAATCATATCTTCATTCTCAATTTGACTCAGAGATTGA